GGGGATGTGGCTCAAGCGGTAGCACGCTCTCCTGGCATGCGTGCGGCCCGGGTTCGATCCTCAGCACCACATACAAACAAAGATGTTGTGTCCGCCAAAAACTAAAATAAATAAATAAATATTAAAAAAAAAAAAAGTGCACACCATGCCTGGTTTAGGAGGTTTCTTTAAAAAAAAAAAAAAAAAATATCTTATTTAGAGACAGGATCTCCCTGAGTTGCTTAGGGCCTCGCTAAGTTGCTGAGGTTGGATTTGAACTCTCAGTCTTCCTGCCTCACCCTCCTGAGCCGCTGGGATTACAGGTATGTGCCTCCTGCCTGGCCTGCTAATATCATTTAAAGGACTGGGAGCCCAAGGAAGCTGTGGGTCTACTGGACAGTAATTTCTTAGCTGAGCTGAGCCATCCTGAGTTGGGGCCTGTTCTTCCCATGAGCCCTGCTCCCTGCAATCCTCCTCCTCCACCAAGGCCCAGGGAGAACAGGGCAGAGCAGGGTGAACATGGAGGACTGAGCAGGCAGGGAAGGGTCATGGCCTGGGAGACAGGCCTTAAGCCCAGCCCATTGCCTGCTCCTACTCACCCTAGAGTAGCACATTGTGACTCAGGGTTCCAGGGTTTGGCCTGCTAGAGAGGAACAGATTAGGGGAAAACTCAGAAAGCTTCCTTGCCACCTCCCCAGAGAGTCCTTGGCCTTAGACCCCAGATGTCTCCCCAGGATGACCCCACCATCTGGTCTGGCCTTGTCCCCAGGGGTCTGACCCCCAGTGAAGCAGTCACCTTCTCTTCCCAGTTCTTCTAGCTCAAAGATCAGCTGAGGGCCGCCCCAGGAGGGAGGCCCTAGATGCTTTAAGAGCAGAAGAGGGAGGCGGTTGGAGGGTGGAGCCTCCCCTAGGACAAGAAGAAGGGTCAGTAGTTCAGATTCAAAGAGATAGAAGGAGAAGGAGAAGCAGAAGAGCCTGAGTCTCCTGGGGCAGGGAGTAGGGGTTTGTCCCTTGTTGATCCCCCGACCTCCGCTTTAGGCACTCTCAGAGCTAGGATGGGCTGTCTGAGTCAGGACAGGTCTATTCACCAGCCCCCAACCTGAGAGAGAGGAGCAGAGGAACTGAGGGTGTGGCTCAGCACAGAGATGTGCTTAGCCAGGCCCAGGGTTCGATCCCCAGCATGCAAAATAAACACATAGATAACAGTATGGACTTGGGATGCAGGTGGGAAGCTCAAGAGTTCAGGTGAGGGCAGGCAGCCCAGTGAGGTAGTGTTCCCTGTAGAATGCTGACCAGGTGCCTGCAGGGATCTGCACCTGGCTCAACTCCAGAGAAGCTTCTGGTGCAGCTGCTGAGTCACAGGAAGATAGGACCTGCCAGGAGCTGGGGTGGGCCCGTGAGGCCAGGGGCCTTGTAGATGGTATGGGTGCTGCAGCAATGCTGTTCCCTCAGGGGATAGGACCAGTCCTCAGGACTCTCTGCCAGTGACTCTCTGCCTGGCTGGCCAGCCCCTCCTGACCCCTCCTGCATCATGGCCTCTCAGCACGAGATTCCTCTACAGTTTTCTGCCAGACTTCAGCTAGCTGCCCTGGTTACTCTCTCCTGGCCAGTTCAGCATAGCTCTACCCTGCCCTTGGTGGGGTTTTCCAGGCCAGTGGGTCAATGCGCCACAACACAGGGGCTTAGCCACTGGCCTCAATCGCCTCACAGAGTGGAGGCTGCAGTCTCAGATTTGGTGTGTCCAAAGTGGGATCCTTCTGAGGGACTGGGAGGAAATTTTGTTCCAGGCCTCTCTCCCGGTTTGTAGAGGGCCACCTTCCAGTTCACTTGGCATCAGGGATTTGTGCCCAAATTTCCAATTTTAATTTTTATTTATTTATTATTTTTTGGTACTGGGGATTGAACTCAGGGGTACTCGACCACCCTTTTTGTATTTTATTTAGAGACAGGGTCTCACTGAGTTGCTAAGCACCTCGCTGTTGCTGAGGCTAGCTTTGAACTTGCAATCCTCCTGTCTCAGCCTCCTGAGCCACTGGGATTACAGGCGTGTGCCACTGTGTCCGGCTAAATTTCCAATTTTTATAAGGACACCAGTCCTAATGGATTAGGGCCCACACTAATGGTCTTATTACTTGGTAACTTTATTAATTGGTAACCTTTACAAAGACCCTCTCCACATGAGAGTACATTCTAAAGTCCTGGGGTTTAGGACTCCAATATATGAATTTGAGGGGGATTCAATGGATCCCAAAATGCCCTTGAAGGGAACTTGAGACAACCTCTGTAGCTCACAGAGGATGTGTGAGAGGTTCCCCTGTGCTCACTAGACTAGTTGTCTGTCACCTGCTGCTGCTGAGGAGCCCACAGCACTGTCTGGAACCCCCTTTGCATGCCCAGGAAGGCCAAAACCTCCCCTGAGCCTTCTTTGAGTTCTAGAGGGAGAGGGAGAAGGGAGCTGCTCCTACTTTAGCTGAAGCCTCTCCTCTGGGTGTCACCTCCAGAAGATGGTCTGCCCCATACCATGAATGCCTCCATGGCTGCCCCTAGGGCCCCCATCCACAGCATACTCTCTGGTTTTGTGTTTTGTTTTTTAATATATATATTTTTTTGTAGATGGACACAATACCTTTATTTTATTTATTTATTTTTATGTGGTGCCGAGGATTGAACTCAGGGCCCTACACATGCGAGCAAGAGCTCTACCACCGAGCTGCAATCCCAGCCCAGACGCTCTGTTTTAAAACTTTATTGAGATAGAATTCACATGCAATACAGTTAAATCCATTAAAATGTACAAGTCAATACACAGAACTGGGAAATCATTACAATGTATTTTAGAATATTTTTATTATCTTAAAAAGAAATTCTGGCTGGGTATGGTGGTGCATGCCTGTGTGAGAGGCTGAGGCAGGAGGATAGCAAGTTCAAAGCCAGCCTCAGCAATTTAGCAAAGCCCTGTCTCAAAATAAAAAATAAAAAGGGCTGGGGAAGTGGCTCAGTGCTCTAGCGCCCCTGTGTTAAACCCCAGGTACAAAAAAAAATTTGTTTTCTACTAGAGGTGTAGCTCAGTGATAGAGCACTTGCCTAGCATTCATGAGACCCTGGGTTTCACCCCTCGTACCACAAAAAGGAAAAAAGAAAGAAATCTGTCCCCTGAACCATCACTTCCAAATACTTATCTCCCCATCCCCCAATATCTCTATCAATCAATTATTTATTTTCTGTCTATAGATTTGCCTGTTCTAGACATTCATATGCATAGAATCATACAATATGTAGCCTTTTGTGTCTGGCTGCTTTAACCAAGCATAAGATTTTCAAGGTCTTTTCTATATTGTAGCCTGAATCAATGCTTCACTCATTTTTACTGCTGAATGACATTCCATTCTATGAGGAGTAAACCCAGGGGTGCTCTACCACTGAACTAAATCCCCCAGCCTTTTTTATTTTTGAGACAGAGTCTCACTAAGTTGGCTGGCCTGGAACTTGTGATCTTCCTGCCTCAGATTCCCCAATTGCTGGGATTACAGACATGTACCACTGCTCCTGGCTCCTGGTTCCTTGGCCCTCCCCACTTTTTTTTGTACCCAGGGGTACTTAACCACTGAGGCACATCCATAGTTCTTTTTTTTTTTTATTTTTGGTAGTTGTAGATGGACAGCCTGCCTTTATTTTGCTTATTTTTGTATGCGGTGCTAAAAATTGAACCCAGTGCCTCAAGTGTGGCAAGAGCTCTGCCACTGAACCACAGCCCTATTTTTCTTTTTTTAATTATTATTTTGAGACAGGGTCTTGCTAAGTTGCTTAGAGCCTCGCTAAATTGCTGAGACTGGCTTTGAATTTGTGATCTCCTGCCTCAGCCTCTTGAGCCACTGGGATTACAGGTATGTGCCATCATGTTTCCGTTGCCCATTTTTAATTGGGTTCTTTATATTTCTTGATACAAGTCCCTTATCAGATATTTGAATTGCAAATATTCTCTCCTATGCTATGGGTTGTCTTTCCAAGTTCTTTATGGTGTCCTTTGAAGCATGAAAGGTTTTAATTTTGGTTATAGGACTGTACCATTTTGAAAATACAAGTAATCATTTTGATATGACATTTTTTATGTAGTGGACTTGAGTATTTGCAGCTGAAGAAGTTTGCATGTAGTCTTGAAAACATTTCAGTTGCACAGGGGCCTTCTTTCCTCTGGCTCCTCCTCAACCAACTTTCAGGCATCCATCTGAGCTTCCTCCTCCCACGTTTCCTACTTCAATAACGCCCTGTTCCCATCAACCATTGATCCCAACTTCTTCTATAAAACAGTGATTGATCCAAATCTGCCTAGTTTCTGCCACCAACTGCACCTCAGGTCCATCAGTGCTCAGAAGAAATGAAGGGCTTTCTCTCTCTCTCTCTCTCTTTTTTGGTACTGAGGATTAAACCCAGGGGCACTCAACCACTGAGTCACATCCCCAGTCCTTTTTATATTTTATTTAGAGACAGGGTATCCCTGAGTTGCTTAGAGCCTTGCTAAATCACTGAGGCTGGCTTTGAACTTGGGATCCTCCTGCTTCAGCCTTCCAAGCTTCTGTGATTCCAGGCGTGCACCACTGCGCCCAGCTCTCCTTATTATTTTTATTCTCCTCCTGAATGTGGATCCCTGTTTCCCTCTCCTACTTGGCTGGTTCTTGTCCTCATGCTAGTCCGGGTGTCAGGAACAACTGGGGACAATTTCCCATTAAAGCTAAATGCCATCACAAAGTGACCCACTAAGTGACTCTACCTATGGGGAGTGGACACCTCTCAACCAGCCTGGCTCTATAGGCAATATAGAGAGTGGTCCCTGGGAGGGAGGACTTGGAAGGGACATAGCCATGCCATGAGAGCTAGCCTCCTTGACCATCAGGGTGCAATCACCCACAAGCTTGTTAAAATACAGATGCCTGACCTCACTCCTAGAATGAGGATTCAGAGTGAGGGAATGGGATCCACATATCTAAATTCCCATCCGGTGATTCTGATATGGACTATTCCAGGAGCCTAGTTCCAGAGACAATGATGAAGGTCTTGAGTCTTTAGGGAATTGGGATGAAAGAGGAATCCTGGATTTCATCTACTCTTTAGCCTAGGACTAGGGCCTCCAGGAGTGCTGAGGAGGTATTGAGGGGATTGAAAGAGGGATCTGTCCATGTCTTCCTAGCAGCAGGGGCCACCTGGAGCCAAATTGTGCTAGATGAAGCTCCAGTCACTCCTGCAGGCCAGGAGAGGATGTTCAGGATAGGAGGGTGTCTATTTGAATGGGGGAAGTCCTGGGGTTAGGGTGGTGTCCAGGCTGTGTGGCCTGGGGTCAGGACAACTAGAAAGGAGGTTAATGGGGACAGAGGTGGGGAGTACCATCCATGTGGCCACTGATGGCACCCAGGATGTGAGGCACGGATCTGCAAGGAGATCTCCAGGCTTGGTCTGGGCCCCCCATCATGATTGCAGTGGGACAATGTGGCACCAGGTCAGGTGAGAAGATTCAAGGAAACTGGGCAGCTGTGTGTGGGAGGCCAGACACTGCTGCCTGCGTGGTGGGGGACAGAGAGTCCAAGGACTGAGTTCCAAGAAAGCCAGGCTGTTCTGGGGAAAGGAAAGTCCTACTGGGGCAGCGTGTGGCCGAGATGGAGGCCAAGCTGTCCCCTCCCTATGACCGCAAGGGGGGCCACAGAGTACGTCATCGTGTAAGTGTACAGTCCCCGCGCTTAGCTCTGCCTCTCGCCCCCTTCTCACCCCCATTGCCTCGGCATCCCGCCCCTTCCCCAGGCTCAGGAGTAGAGTCTGCACCGTCGCAGGCGGCTGCTCTTGCAGGTGCCCACGGAGCACGGAGGTCACCGCGCGCTGGTGCCCATTGGCGGCGGGTGCCACCCAGAGAGCACTGGAGGTAAAGTCCAGGCGGCAGCCGGACCTCCCCAGGGAATCTGTCCAGTTCTGTGCTGGAGGGAGCTACGCGGAGGGGACAGACTCACAGCCCCACGCAAGGTCCAGCAGAGACTCCGGCCCTGCTCGGTGTAGGGCGCTGTTCCGCTCAGGACGTCCCTGCCCTCAGCAGAAGAGGACGCCCGCCAGCAGGGGCAGGAGGGACAGCAGGAGCAGCGCGGGCGGCCTCTCGGAGGCCTGGTTGAGCTCGCACCGACAATCACAGGTTCCGGGCTTGGGGGTCGGTTTGGGGGGCTCAGGAGTGCGAGGGCCAAAGTCGGGGGCCGGGCAGTCCAGCCACTTGGGCCCCATGGACTGCGGGGAGTCCGGCGCGGTCTTGACGCTGCCTTTGGGAAAGCGCCAGTAGTGGGCGCCCTTGAAGAAGTAGGTGTCACCTGTGGCGGAGGAGACCTTTCAGGCGTTGGTCTGCCCCAAGCCGCGCCCCTCCTGCTTCACCCCGAGTCCCCCTGGCGCCGGCGACCGCCAGCCCCCTCCCCTGCGTCCCCGGACCTGTGTTGCCGACAGTGACATCGTCGGGGGCGGGAGGCGCCCCTTCCCAGAGGCTCAGGTCGCGCGGGTAGCCCGGGTCCGGGCGCGCGGCCGCCTCGTCGTACCGCCAGTACTGCTGTCCCCGGATCAGGTAGGTCTTCCCGTTGAATGGCCACGAGAACACGGCGTCCACCTCCTCGCCCGGCGGCAGCCCTAACTCCTCGAGCGGGCGCGCTGCGCCCTCTAGCTGCCGCTCCCGGAACACCCAGAACTGCGGGCCTGGAGGGAGGCAGCCTGGTCACCAGCACGGTTCCGGAGCCGGTTCGGACCCGGCCACCTGGGGTCCCACTCACCGCTGAAAAGGAGGATTCGGCCGTCTCCGCGCCGAGCATAGGCGGCCTGGATGACCCTCACGTGCGAGGGCAGCCCCTCCCAGAAGCGGTGCACCCGGGCAGGCCGGGGCGACACCAGCTGTCCTGAGGGCTGGAGGCGCCAGAACCAGGGGCCTTAGGGGTAAGAAGGGGAGGGCATGGGGTCATGACAGGATAGGAGGACGCCCCGCCCCCGCCTAGAGTGTGTGGCCGAGGGAGGGCTGGGTCTTCCCACCCCACAAGGTCCCTTGCACACTACCCATCTGTCCATCTGGGGTGTCCATCTGGAAATCAAGGGCGACTCAATCTAGGGCGACGGACTCCTTTTGGCTTGCCCAGGAGTTCCCATTTTTTAGCACTAAAAGTCACTCTTCCCAGGAAACGTTGAAGCCTGTGGTGGGGGTCACCTGAAGTGTACAGGAAGCCAACCATGGTGCCCAGGGAGTCAGGGACCAACCAAAGGGACTTACCTTTGAAAAAGAAGGTTTCACCGCGGATGTTGGCAATGGCATCAAAACTGCCCTCACATCGATCAGGGACAGGTGCGGAGGGGCTGGGTAGGAAAGGTGAGTGAGCAGAAGGCGGGCTTCTTCATCCCTTACCCTCCACCACAGTCCTGAAAGGCAGGGCTCACTGTTCCATCTCACCTAGGACACTGGGACTAGGGAACTGGTCATCCAAGGTCACACAGCTGATGGGGAACTCACCTGTCAGGGGGCAGGACGGAGGGCCTTGGAGGAATCAGGGGTTTCCTTGTGGGCTGGTCATTTGGGGTTTGAGGCACTTTCCCTGCAAGAAGAGTCAGACAGGTGTGGGCTCCCTGGGCCTGCTCAGAGGCCATGGGAGAGCCACAGCAGAGCAACTCAGGGTAGGTCCCTCATTGCCATACCATACAGCTGCTGCAGGCCATCACGGTCATCCTGGGACAGGCGGTACTTGTCAGGGTCACCCACTGGGCCCTGGTAGAAGGGCCTCATAATGGAGTTGGGTGCGGAGGAATGGCCCAGACCCAGGGCGTGGCCAAACTCGTGAACAGCTACAGCAAACAGGTCAGTACCCTCACCATCTGGGGAGGGGAAAGGAAGGTTGGAGCTGAGGGCACCCCACACTTGGAAAGAATGCATGGGAAGTGGGACCTGCTGATCTGCAGGAAGCACTGAAAGACCCTCGAGAGGGGACTCCAGCCTCCTCTGCCCTGACCCCTCATTGAACCATGTTATCATTACTGAATTCTTTCAGCAAATATTTTTGAATTGCCCTAGTTGGTGGTGCTGATACTGGGTACAGGGATGAAGAGACCCAAGAATGGATAGAGGAAGAGTGACCTTACACAAGTGCAGCCCCTCTCTTGAAGGGAAGACTGCATATAGAAGCTCAGAGCAGCAAGAACCCTGGGTGCCTGTAGTTCTCTCCAGGAAACCCGTGCTTTGGAGCATTCCCTCCTCTAAGATCTAGTCCATGAGCAGAGGTCCCTGTTCCCCATCCCCAACCCAGGTCCCTCCCACTCACCTTTCATTTCCTCTGCCCCTATTCCTTGGCCTACATTCCCACATCCTCTGTCCCCCCCTCTGCCATCTCCCCTGCCCACAGCTCCCCTCTCCCCTCCCCCCTCCCCCTCCCTGGGGTCCCTGCCCCTCCACTCCCTGGCCTTGTTCCATCTCCACAGGAACATGGAGCTCCCTCCAGCATGCACTCTCAGACCACAGCCTCTCTCTCAGCCTCTTCCCACCACAGAAGCTTCTTCCCTGGAGATCCAGCTCCAGCGACTGAGGGCCTAGTTCCTCATCGATCTGCCTGGCTCCTGCTCCGGTCAAAGGCCCCACCCAGAAGAGGCAGTGACAGAGCCAGGCAACACATCAGTGGGCATGTATTTCTGCAGATGTTGATCTAGTTTGTGGGAATCTCTAACTAGGGCTAGCAACATTGAAGACAGCATTATTGGAAATGGCCTGGTGAATTGAAAAGCAAGTTTCTCTAAGCCCCTGAGGGCTGATACCTAAGTATGGAAGCGGTAAACCCTAGGAGGCCTCATTTACCTCTCAAACCTCTACTTCCTATCCTGATTTTACAGAGGGGGGATTGAGGCCAAATGCCCTGCCTGTGCACCCTCAAAACTGCAAATGTCTGATCAATTTCCACATTGACTGCAGGTCTTATTATTGCTCCAAATCCTTTTTCTGAGAAATTGGAGGAAGTTTGGAGACTCAATACGACGAGAGCTTTGTTCTCTCACCTTCTTCCCTTGCTTCATCTCTACTTTGGTGACATAGGGTTTTCTGAGCCAGGCACCCCTTCCTGCACCCTTCTCACACTATGCAGCTGGGGAAATTACACAACCGTGCAGGCCTAGCCCCACCAGAGTCCTGATGGGTAGTGTGCAAGGGACCTGACACCTCCTATCATTCCTGCCCTTGTCCCAGCAAGCAACTCCTCTACTCTCTCCCCTCAGCCTCCTTTCCATGTCCACAAGGCCCCAAAGCTGCAACCCAGTCATAAGTCCCACCTTCAGATGACAGATGCTAACAAGCACACATCCTGTTTCATCAAGTCCAACGGAATCTGTGACTTGTAGTATACCTGGGGCAGATACCCAGTCACACTGCTTTCTGCAGTCCCTCCTCAGCCATGTTCCTTAGTCAATAATCTAAACTCAGTCCAGTTCTTTAGCTCCTTTCATACCTGAACCCATTGCAGTTTTGGATCTTCCCCCACTGATGGAGTCTGCAGACACTAAGAATGTCACTTGTTTCCTGGATGACCAAATCTAATGCCTGTAATTTACTGGGTTTGTTTGCTGTAGCCATTGCTGACCACTTCCTCCTTGACTCTTGTTCTTCATCACCTTTTGGCCTGTTCTTTCTCCATCTCTTTTAATTCCTCTTCCCCAGCCACCCACCTCTTAGCCCTGGGGCTCTCCACAGCTCTGTCCTTAACCTTTCTTTACATGCTACATTTTCTTCCTGGTACGCTTACAAACCCCAAGGACACTAACTCTGCCCCCAGGTCCAGCTCTAATAAGGGTTGGCAGTGCTTAGAGCACCGTTCTGCACCAGGCTCTGAGCAAGTAAAGGGCTGGAGGTGGATTACTCATCTAATCTACAGACCACACTGCCAGCAGGTACTGTTCCCATCCCCCATTTCTCAGCTGAGGAAACTGAGTGCAACGTGGTTAAGTAACTTGTACACATTACAAGTGGAGGAACCCTGACTTGATTCAGCTTCAAAGCCCACCTGCTTGGGTTGTGGGTGCAGCCCAGTGATACAGCACTTGCCTAGCATCTGAGAGGCCATAGGTTCCATATCCAGAACCACAAAAATATATAAATAAAAAAATTTAAAAGCCCACCTGTTTAATTCTGCAGGACATTGCCTCACTGTCATGGATGCAGTCTCTGATGACCTGTCAAGCCCTGACAGAGCCTGAGCACCAACTCCAGCTGCCCCTGCCCCACTTAGGCTCCCCCAGCAGCTCACAGACAACGATTGGCAATATAAATCTGGGAAGAGTCAGCCCTGCCCCAGGCTGTTCCCACTAGAGAGCTCCAGGGGAGCAGTCTCCTCTCCAGCTGAGACCACATCCTTGCTCAGCTTCTCACTCTCTCTTCCTTCCCTTTCCCAAGTGCATGCCCCTGAGAAACTGCTTGCATAACAATTTCCATCTAGGCCTTCACTTCCAGGGAACCTGACCTAGGACAGAGGAGCCCAAGTCTAGAGCATGATTCTCAGTGCTTGTAGCATGCACATGGAACACTGGTGCACGGCAAACAGGCTCCACACCTGCACTTCTCCCACCTTGGGCCAGCCTGCTGCCCTCCCCCATGTGCACAAACAGCAGCCATCCTCCAGGACCTGTGCTGGATCCTGGATGTCATTCCACCCTCCTTGTCTCCTGGTCCCCAGGATCCAGCCAGATCTTTGCCCATCCCATCCCTCCTGGCTTCCCTCAGATCCAAACCCCCACCCCATGGCCCACCTCCATCTCTTACCTGGACCCTGCAGCAGCTTTGCCTCCCTGTCTCTCTCCACCCCCTCATACATCCAGCAATATTTCTAGAATGCAAAATCCTTTGATGGGGCTGGGGTTGTGGCTCAGTGGTAGAGCGCTTGCCTAGCATGTGTGAGACACTGTGTTTGATCCTCAGCACCACATAAAAATAAACAAATAAAGGCATTCTGTCCATTTACAACTACCAAAAAAAAATTTAACAAAAATCCTTTGATAACTCCCCAAAGCCTCCAGAGCCCCACTGTCCGAATTCTTCCACTTGTTCTTGAAGGCCCGTTATGATCTATGACCCACCATTCATCCTATGCCATCTCCTTTCCAAAGCCAGATTTTTGCCTTCTTGCCTCAGGCTATGTCTCCCCCCCCCCTCCCTGCGTCCCTGCCACCCTGCTAGCCCCCTGCCTCCGCTTTCTCATTGAGAGAGTCCTGTCTGCCCCCACCCCACCCGCCCACCCATGCAGCCGTGCTTCTTGGTGCTCAGTGCATGTTTATATATATTGAATGAATGGAGTCACCCCTTCTAGGAGGCCACCTCTGAGCAGCCCTAGGCTCTAGGACTTCCTCAGCTGTGACTGCAGGCCATTGGGTCACTGTGTGTAGTAACTGCCTATTATTCTTTTGCCTCAGCTGCTGACAGAAAGGTGGCTTAGGCTCTGTAAGTCAATCCAGCTGAGAGCTAGGCACCTGGTAGTCCTCTGCAGTGGTTAATTTTATGTGTCAATTTGGCCATGCCATGGTGCCCAGGGGTTTGGTCAAAACGAGTCCAGATGTTGTGAAAGTAATTTGAAGATACGACTAACATCTACTATCAGTAAAGCAAGTCACTCCAGTTGGGGTGGTCTGTGTCCAAACAGGTCACTCCCCATGAGCAGACTGAGGGCTTTGGGGAAAGAGTTCTGCCTCAAGACTGTGACAGAAACCCAACTAAGTTTCCAGCCTGCCCTACAGATTGGCCTCGTTCACCCTACAATCCCTGGGAGCCAATTCCTTACAATAAATCTCTACACACACACATCTTCTTGGTAATTTCTCTGGAGACCCCCAACTTATACAACCTCAACTGATCAATTCATTTAAACCTCAGACATATCTTTAACTTGGGTTCCAAACTCAGAACCACAAAAATAAAAATTTTTTATAAAAAGCCCCCTGCTTCATGCTGCGGGACACAGTCATCAACACAGGGTCTGACTAGCTGTCATTCCTGACAGAGCCTGGTCACCAGCCCCAGCTGCCCCTTCCCTTCTTAGGTTCCCACCAGCAGCCCAGGAACTGGGGAGAGGACCTCTCCAAAGATGGGAGGTTTTACCTTGCGACCCAAAAGTCCAGATCTCCTCATCATCAAAGTGAGTGTCCCCGGAGATTGGGTGCTCCCCAGGGAAGAAGGCATGGGCAAGGGTGCCGCCCAGCCCGTCGAAGGGGTAACTGTCCTGGTGGTAGGCCCGGGCAAAGTCGATGAGGATGTCAGCCTCCTGGTGCTGGGAATTCACCTCCTGGAACGTGAGGCCTGACTCAACACCCCAGACGGTCAGGGCATAGCTCATGAGGGTCCGCACTATCTGAGGGTTCAGCAGGGAGCTCTGGGGGAAGGATTGTACCCTGAGGAGAGAGGAGGGGAGCAGGTGGCGATAGAGGCAAGGGCAGACATGCAAGCCTGGGACCCAGCAGGCAGGCCCAGGGGAGGGCAGGCCCCAGGACCTACCTCCAGGTCAGGATTCGCTTCCTCCACACACTGCCACTCAGAGCATAGCGGCGGCGGCGCCGTCTAACCAGCCCCGCAGGCCCCAGCACGTCAGGCAGGGAGCAACGGGGCTTGCGCATGGTTTCTAAAGTCCTTTTGTCTGTGGGAGACCATGAGGGACAGGGTCAGCAGCAGGAAAGCCTACCCTAACCATGTACCAGTTATCCTTATTCATGGGGAAAGGGAGGCTCTGAGAGGTAAAGTCATCATGGGATGCTGATCAAGTACCAAGTCCCCAGACTAGGAGAGATCTCCGACCCCTGTGCCAAGCCACTGTCCCAGGTTAGGTCTCCTGGGAACCCCCTTTTCTAGTTCAGCTCCATTCCCAGCTACCACCTCATTTTTAGTTTTTTTTTTTTTTTTTTTTCTGTGCTGGGGATCAAATTCCTCATTTTCAAATTAAGGTCAAACCACATATTATTGGTTGAGGTGATAAATAAAACTTGAGAACATACAGATGCCAGACCCTGTTCTAGGCTGTTCCAAGAGTGAATGAGGCAGAATCTTCCCCTAGTTAACATTCTTAAGCTCCTTTTCCACCCCATTTAACTCCACAGAGGTCAGACATGGTGGCAAATGCCTGTAATCCCACTGACTTGGGAGGCTGAGGCAGGAGGATTGTGAGTTCAAGGGCAGCCTCAGCAATTTATTGAGGCCCTAAGCAACTTAGTGAGATCCTGTCTCAAAATAAAAAGGGCTGGGGATGTGGCTCAGTGGTTAAGCGCCCCTAGGTTCAATCCTTACCACCTACCTCTAAAATGCATGCCCTCAATTCAACTGCTTCTGGCTACACCCCCCACTCCAGGCCATCTGGGGCTACAACTGCCTTCTTCCTGTTCTCCAGGAGCCCCACCTCCACCCTCAGCAACCAAGTTTAAAACTGCAAGTCAGACTGAGTTGTTTTTCTTCTTCAAATCCTTTTCTGGTTATTATCACTCAGAATCAAAACCCAAACCCTTTATTCAAGTTCTTTTTTTGATACTGGGGATTGAACCTGGGGGTGCCTTACCACAAAGCTCTATTTTATTTATTTTTTGAGACAGGGTCTCAACAAGTTGCTGAGAGTCTTGCTAAACTGCTGAGGCTGGTCTGGCTAAATCTATGGGATTACAGTCATGCACCAAGGTTTCCAATTAGACCCCTACCTAAGCCCTTCAGGTTTCTTTTACTCCAGGCACATAAAGTTGTGCCTGCCCCGGGGTCTTTTCACTTGCTGAGACATTTTCTCTTACATCTTCCCTTGACTACTCTTCCCTTTTGTGGTCTTGCATCATGTGACATCTTTCAGAGGCCTAGCTGGGTGTGGCCTAGCTACTTGAGATGCTGAGGACTGAAAGCTCAAGGCCAGCCTGAGCAATTTACGAGAACTTGTCTCAGAATTAAAAAAAAAAAAAGGTGCTGGGCATGTGGTTTAATGGTAGAGTGTTTGCCTAGAATGCTTAAAGCTCAACATCACAGAGGGGAAAAAGTGCCAGGCAGGCGTGGTGGCACACGCCTATAATCTCAGCACCTGTAATCCCAGTGGTTTAGGAGGCTGAGACAGGAGGATCTCAAGTTCAAAGCCAGCTCAGCAAAAGCAAGGCTTTAAGCAATTCAGTGAGACTCTGTCTCTAAATAAAATATACAAAAGGGCTGGGGATGTGGCTCAGGGGTCAAGTGCCTCTGAGTTCAATCCTTAGTACAAAAAAAAAAAAAAAAAAAAAAGAAAAGAAAAAGAAAAAAAAGTGGGGGTGGGGGGGAGTACCCAGCTCTGGATATTATTAGCATTTTATTTTCTTCAAAACACGATTATTTGAAACCATCTTGCACATTTATGTTCCTGATCTGCCTTTCTTTCTCCCTCCAGAATGTTAGCTCCAGGAATGCAGGGGCCTATTTCCAACAGTACTTTAACAGTGGAGCCTAAAATAGACGAAAACATAAAGAGATTCTCAGTAATGGTGTATTGAAAGGTGAATGCCCTGCACAGTGCCACTCATCAGTAATCCAGGCTACTCAGGAGGCTGAGGCAGGAGGATTTCAAGTTCCAGTCCAGACTGGGCAACTTATCAAGACCCTGTCTTAAAATAAAAAAATAGGAAGGTCTGGGGATGTAGTCCAGTGGTAAAATGTCCCGGGTTCAATCCCTCAGGGTGTTTGGGGGATGGGGGAGATAAATGCCTGAGAACCACAGGGGCTTGTGGCTGGAATTTGAACTCAGCATCCTCATAAGCTCCTGTGATTCAAGAGCGCTGAAGTTTAAGGACTGCAGGATGATGATGGTCAGGTTAAGGGCAGAGGCAGGGCTGCAGCACTTACCCAAGCGTCCTGTCTCAGGCAGCCCAGCGAACCTCTGCATGACTTTGATGGCATCACGCAGCTTCTCAGGGCTCTGCAGCTGGGCCTGGGCAGGATCTGGTGGTGGTAAGTAGCCATAGAGTCTCAGCCAGTCCTAGGATCAGCGGGGACGGATGAAGTCAGAAACTCACCACCATCCTGGAAGCCCCTCCCTTCCAGAGCCAGAGCCCTCAGTTCTGGGATGCAGGCCTGTTCCACCTCCCCAAGGTCCCCACCTTCCAGCTCCAGGTTTGCCAGTCTTCATTTGGACCCAGGAATTGAGGCCCGAATCCCATTCCAGCTCCTTTCCTGACCTCCAATTCCGGGCTCCAAAACTGACAGATTCAATAATCCGGGTCCCCAGGCTCCATCCCCAGTCACTCTTCGGACATTTTAATCTGGCCCCTCCATCCTCCAAACCCAAAAGTCCAGGACCTCGGCTTTCCTCTCCCAGCCTCCCTGAGGATCCCAGAGGACCGGGGACCCCGGCTCACCACGCCCAGGCTCACGTCCTGCGCCGAGGGCTCAGAGGCAGGTGCTGACCGCGCGAGCAGAAGCAGCGGCGTCAGGAATCGGAGTCCGAGCGCCAGCGGCCGCATGGCGCGCTTCAGCCAGGGCAACCAGGGGGCCCGAAGGAGGCCTGACCCAGGTCGCTCGGGGACCTGGGGAATGAGGTCAGGGGCCCAGAGAGGATTTCGCCGGGTGGATAGGATGGACAGGAGGGGTTAAAGGTCCTGAGAAGGATGGGAGAGGATGCAGGGCGGCGACAGCAGAGGAGCAGGGGAACAGGTTCGCACGCGGGGTCCGGGTTGGGCGGAGGATCTCGAGAGGATTGAAAGGGCCCGGAGGAGGTGAATGTCCAGTGACTAGGTCAGCCGGGCTGCCGCTCGGCGTCGCGTCCGGCCCGGGTACTGAGCAGCGGCCCTCTTCTACCCTCGCGGTCCGAGGGCGGGGTGTGGCCGGGCGGGGCGGGATCGCCCCCAGGAGCGGTGCGGGAAACTGCCCAATCTTCGGGCGTCCAGCGAGAAGGGGCGGACCAGGCGGTGGCTCCCCGCCCCTCGCCGGGACCCAGGGACTCTCCTCCCAGCTCTTCAAAGCGCCAAAGGAAGGCAGGATGCGCGGGTGGGGCACTCTGCGCCCCCAGGCTTCTCCTCCCTCTGCCCGGGCTGAAGTTTCTCTTCCCAAAAGCCTAAGCCAGTGGGATTCCCTGGAGGAGCTAGCTTCTGCTTTCTCAGGACCGCAAGGCCCGGGAGGGGCGACCCGGCCACCCTCCTCCGCCCGCAGCATTCCCGGGACCCGCGGTGGGCAATGGAGTGCCGGAGGGTTTCCGGGCAGCAGGAGGCTGGGAAGACAGGTGTCCTTCCCCGCTGTGCGCCAAGCGGCTGCCGGTCCCGAATCCTTCCACCCGCCCTCGTGGCTGCGCGCATCTCTGTCTTGATGCACCGCGGTGTTGGCACCCAAGACGCCGGCGGTGCTCTGGGACCGCGGTCCCTTTCCCGGGCACTAGGCATTTAAATCCAAAACCTCCACGCAGAAGCTCGGGTCCCTGCCGGGTGCCCGCAGCAGCGGACGAAGGAGGAGCTGGATGGGAGGCAACTGATGGTAAGACCTGGGCACCAGCAGAGCCTCCCCAAGCGTCCCGAACGTCCAGGGCTCGGGCCGGCTGTTGCAGAACCCAGAGACCTCTGGAGGCGAGGGCTTCCGGGCCAGGAGCGGAGTCCCGAGTGAGTTTGACCGCGCAGTTCCGGGAGTGGCCAGGAGGGGGGAGCCCCAAGGGGCTCCATCCGCATCTTATTTCTTTGTGTTTGCAGTACTGGGATCCATCTGAACCGAGGGCCTCACACTTGCTAGGCAAGGGCCCTTCCACTGAGTTACATCCTCAGCCCCACCTACCTTTATTTATTTATTTTGGCACCGGAGATTGAACCCAGGGGGTGGTTGACCACTGAGCCACATCCCCAACCCTTTTTGTTTTATTTTTAGACAGGGTCTCCCGGAATTGCTGAGGGCCTTGCTAAATTGCTGAGGCTAGCCTCAAACTTTCGATCCTCCTGCCTCAGCTTCCGGAGTCCCTGGGATTATAGGTGTGTGCCACCACACCTTGCTCCCACCTGCATTTTAGGCAAAATAGCCAGCAGGGCTGCCATGATAAAATACTACAGACTGTGTGGCTTACACAGAAATTTATTTTCTCATGCTTCTGGAAGCTGGAAGTCCAAGACCAAGGGGCCAGCAGGGTTGGTTTTTTCTGAGACCTCCCTCCTGGGCTTGCAGAGGGCCACCCTGCTGTCTCTTTATATGGTCATCTCTCTGTGCCAGCACACTCCCTGATGGCTCTTCCTCTTGCAAAGCCACCAGTCATTGAGGCACACGAAAGGCCTTGTTTTAACTTGATCACCCTTTATAGGCCCTGGCTCCCAATACAGTCCTGTTGTCAGTCACTGGGGTTAGAGCTTCAGTGCAAGAATTCTGAGGGAACAGGATATAGTTCATAAAGATCCTGTGTTTGCCATCAGATGATTGGCAAAAGTTAAAAAACCTGCTGGTGACAGGTGTTAGCTAGGTGTGGCAAAGGTGAAATCAGCGCTCAATGATGGGAATGTTTTGTGGTTGCTTTAGGATGGGACCAACCCTTCACCCCGAATTTGGTTCAGATTGGAGACTAGTGAGGCACATGCAGAGTTTGCTTACCTGTGCTGAGGCTTTCCGGGCCACAGGCAAGCTCTTCCACAGGTCTGGAAATGGTTTGAGAGGGGCTTTCATTGGGATGATGGCTGAGGCTGGGGCAAAGGTTCCCTGGAATTGGCTAGGACTTTCCAGGTTTAAAATTCCCTCCAGACTTTGGAAGAGAAGGCTTAAGGCCTCCTCAGTTTGCCGGGATGTGAGCAAAGGGGAAGAGGGAGGAAGGGGCTTTGAAGTAATTAGCAGTCCCACATCAAAAATGGAGTCCGCTGGGCAGGGGTGGCACAAGCCTGTAATTCCAGCAGCTGGGGAGGCTGAGACTGGAGGATTGCAAGTTGAAAGCCAGCCTCAGCAACAGCGAGGCACTAAGCAACTCTGTGAGACCCTATCTCTAAATAAAATACAAAATAGGGCTGGGGATGTGGCTCAGTGGTTGAATGCCCCTGAGTTCAATACATGGTACCAGGAAGAAAAAAAAAAAATGGAGTCGAACTCTTTATTACAGTGTCAAATGAAAACCTGAGCGAGGAGGGCTAGGGTTGTAGCTCAGTGGTCGAGTGCTTGCCTCACTCTTGTGAGGCCCTGAGTTTGATCCTCAGCACCTCATAAAAATAAATAAATAAAATAAAGGTTTTATGGGGCTGGGGCTGTAGCTCAGTGGTACAGCACCTGCCTTGCACGTGTGAGGCCCTGGGTTCAATCCTAAGCCACCACAGAAAAATATATAAATAAAGATATTGTGACTATCTACAACTAAAAAAAATTTAAATAAGAATAAAGATATTATGTCCAACTACAATGAAAAAATAAATATAGGGCTGGGGATATAGCTTAGTTGGTAGAGTGCTTGCCTCGAATGCACAAGGCCTCTGGGTTCAATCCCCAGCACCCATGCACACACACACACAAAAAGAAAACTGGCAAATCTTACTGTATGTTAATTGTACTTCAATAAAATTGATACAAAAATTGTTTTAAAAAATAAATAAACATATTAAAAAAATAAAGATATTGTATCCTTCTGTAACTAAAACAAACAAACAAACAAAAAAAAACACTGAGCTTGGGGCTGGGGTTGTGGCTCAGTAGTTCAATGCTCAACCAGCACATGTGACGCACTGGGTTCCAGCCTCAGAGAAAGAAAGAAAGGAAGGAAGGAAGAAGGAAGGAAGGAAGGAAGGAAGGAAAGAAAGAAAGAAAGAAGAGAAAACCTGAGCCCTTGGGAAACCAGTTTGATGATATTAAACAAGGCCAAGGAGCCTAGCCTCTGTGGGGGACAAAGATGGCTTCAAACTCTTTGCCCTTCCTCTCAGTGAGACGTGGCATCTAATCCTGTCTGCATCCCAAGGCTTCTGGCAGCCAACCCAGCCACCAGATACCTAGGTGAAGACACCTTCTGTTGACATCAGCCCCAGCCACCATCCACCTGCAGGTTCCCGAAAGCCCAGCAGCAAGAACCACCCAGCAGACCCCAGCCAAACCTCAGAACTGTGAGGGAGAAAAACACTGTGGGCTGGGAAGTAGCTCAGTTGTATAGTGCCTACCTAGAATGCAGGAGGCCCTGGGTTCCAGCCCCAGTACCTCAAACAAACAAAAACTGTTGTTTTAAGCCTCGAACTTGTATGGTGGTTAATACACAATGAGAGATCACCAGAACCCCTCCACCTACTAGTTCCATCCAAAGGTGTACGACAGAGTGGAACACCCCCCACATGTCCTTAGAGGTGCTCAGTAAGTTATTGTCTATATCGTTGGAGAAAAGTGCTGAAAACCGAAGTGTTGGGCTGGAGATGTGGCTCAAGCGGTAACGCGCTCGCCTGGCATGCGTGGGGCACTGAGTTCGATCCTCAGCACCACATAAAATAAAATAAAGATGTTGTGTCCACCGAAAACTGAAAAATAAATATTAAAAAAAAAAAGAAAGCCGAAGTGTTTATTGATAGGAAAATGGAGAGCTGGGTGTTACCTGACACCTGAAACCCCAGCAACTCAGGAGGCTGAGGCAGGAGAATTGCAAGTTTGAGGCCAGCCTCAGCAACTTAGCAAGGCGCTGAGCAAATTAGAGAGACCCTATCTCAAATAAAAATAAAAGGGCTGGAGAGCTGGGGTTGTGGCTCAGAGGAAGAGTACTTGCCTAGTATTCATGAGGCACTGGGTTTGATCCTCAGTACCACATAAAAATAAAATAAAGGTATTGTGTCCACCTACAACTGAAAAATAAATATTATAAAAAAAGGCTGGGGATGTAGCTCAGTGGTTGGGCACCCTTGGGTTCAATCCCCTGTACCAAAAAAATTAAAATAAAATATAAAGGATTAGGCATATAGCTGAGTTATATTGTACATACCACTAGGTTCAAAGACAGAGAGGACTGTGACTTAAACATTGAATGCAATATTACACAACTGGTAATAAGCACAAAATATATTCAAATGCATCATTCTGAGTAAATCTGAGAAACATTTTAGGGACTAGGGATGTCCCTCAGTGCACAGTACTTGTATAACACATGCAAGGTCCTGGGTTCTATCCACAGCAACACGCCCCCCCCCCCCAAAAAAAAAAAGAAACAGAAACCTTTAAAATTAGTGAGTTTAATTATATGTAAATTATTTCTTGTAGTGTTAAAATTGTGCCTCCAAAGACACATACAGTACCTAAAAATATGACCTTATTTGGAAATAGGATCTTTGTACAAATAAATTAAGGATCTCAAGATGGGTCATCCTGGATTCAGGGTGGGTCCTAAATCAGATGATTGGTGTCTTTATCAATGAAAGTAGAGGGACATTTGAGTCACAGAGACCCAGAGGGCCGGGGTCAGGTGGAACCCAATAGTGGAGTGTTGCTGCCAAGCCCAGGAGCACCAGGGACCCTCTGCCAGCCGAGGCAAGGACCAGATCCACCCTCAGAGCCTCCAGCAGGAACCAGCCTGGCCGCAGGCTTCTGGCCTCCAGAATTGGCAGAAATAAACACCGTTGTTCAAGCCACTCAGTTTGTGACATTTTGTTATATTGGCCTTAGGAAACTAATACCTACCTCAATAGAGTTGATTTTTTTCTAAGTTGTGAAAAATACTTGGAAAAATAATGTTAAATTTTTAAAAAAGCAAGTAACTAAACAATGCATTCAGTGTGAAATGTTTTATATAAATTTTTTTCAAACAAATCCAAACAATACTACTTATTGTTCATAGATTGTATGCATCATAAAAGCCTGGAGGCACCACGGCCTGGAACCAAGCCATTCTTGCTGGGTTGCCTTTGTGGAAGTTCAGGCAGGGCTGTGGGGTTCTGCTAGCCTCTGGATGTCCTGTGTAGACTGGCCAAGACATTGTGAGATCTTGGAAGGCATCCCCAGGGTAGACAATTTTCTCCACCCCTGTGAATTGCTAGGGGCTCACCTGGTGGCAAGGAAGGTGGGGAAAGGTGTTTAGACTGGACTTGGGCCTGGAGTTTCCAGGAAGCTATCTTGCTCGCTGAGCTAAGCTAGAGAACAGATGAGGGTGGGGCTCCTGCCCTGGCTTCTTTCCTGAACTACTCCCAACCTCTCCAGGGCTTCCCTGGGGCTTCCCAGGCCCTCCAATTCCTCTACCTCCTTATCAGCAGGGAGCCTGAAGTAGAGGAAAGGGGATAGTGCTGGGAGGCTTTGATCACATTGGTGGTCAGAACTAAGGTCCAGCAGGGAGGTGGGGCCAGGACTCCTGGGTCCAGAAGTGGCTGGGGATAGGATTCAAATGTCCAAAGGATAAGTAGGGCTGGGAGCCAGGCAAGCCAGAATGAGGGGTCTTCATGTGCCCACACACAAAACCCTTGGAGCTGGCTTCCCTACCTGTGAGCTGGCTTCCACCTGTGAATGGTATGACTTCATAGGTTCCCCTGAGGAGGAAAACAATGTAGCATGTGGGTGAATCACCTTTGTGACCC